AAGATATGTGGACTTAACTCCCAGAATTTTCCAGCAAGCACAACTTTAAACATAGTTTCGGCCTAGAATGCAACTTCTATCACAAATATTCTTCTTTTGTTTCCTTCTCTGATCAGCTGATCAGCAGGAAACAACAGTTTCCTGGTTTTCCTGACATGACAACCTATGAGAATAATTATTACTTCAATGGGAATGACCATAGCTGAATGTTTAAATGTCTTTACTTCAGGATATGTTTAAAAACTGTAAATACTATATTAATAATGGTGGCCTTGTCTTCTAGCCAAAAATGAAAACACACAGAGGTTCCATTTATTCATTGCGTAGCTTTGAACTTCTAGATTTATAAAAAGGAATAATCATGAAAAAGCTCTTAATAAAATTACGTACCTATTCAATTACAAGGCCTCAGAAGGCCATTAAAAATAATTGTGAAAAAAGTCATAGCGTTTTCTGGAATAATGAGCAGTTTTTAGTTTTATATAAAATTCAAACGGAGCAGAAAATATTGCAATATGTTGCCACCTTCTATTCCAGTTTTGCATATCTTACACTTCAAGTTTTTATTCCATTGGCATCTTACACCAAGGTAAAAGGATTAATACAGCTTCTAATGCAGAAAAGTTATGCATATACCTAAAATATAAAATTTATATTTTAAAAAATGCAAATGTATAAAATGTTTGCAAATCATCTATCTTGCAAATAATTTTATTAATATATATAGAAAAATAATCTTGATCTAGTAAATCACATTTTAATTAAATCTCAATAAATCTGATTTTCATAATTCATAATAATAAATAGTAGAAAAACTGCCTACCAGAACAAGAAGCCTACTTTTATTAATAGTTTTCTTTTACATTTTTCCATGAACCAAGAAGAATAAAATCTCTAATAATTCCACATGCATGACTCATTACAATTCTTGCTAAAAACAAGTGTTTTAATGCAACATCTAATTTCTAACATTTTCACACCTAAGATCAAAAACCATTATTTCAGCTTAAATAACTATAGGAAGTGGTAATCCAGATTTGCAAATTAGGTTGTCTCCTCTCCAACTAAGGAGACCTGATAATAATGTGAAATAAATGTTTATTGCTTAATGTTTCTATGGAAGAGTTTCTATTTTATAGAAATATTTTTTTCATTTTAATAAAATTATAATGCATATAACAATTAGATTGCTTCAAACACCTTTTTTTCAGATTTTACCTAGATTATGCTTATATAAGTATATCACATCTCCTTTGGTATTATTTATTTATTAAATGAAGTAGACTCAATTCTATTGGAGAAAAGTTATAAAATAGTTAGGCATCATGTAAAACACAATGTACCATAATAGCTTTCCTTACTAAAAATGCTCACTAAAAATTCCAAAGGTATTGGAAAAATTTCTGGTTCAGTTTTTTTCCCCCCAGAAAACCTACTCTATCAGAGAAGTTGATTAGATTAGAAGTTCATTTAGCCCTAAATTCAGAGGAATTATTTAGAATGGTCATAAAGGGCTGCCAAATATTTAGCAGACATTTGTCTGCCAAAATCTAAACCAGCAGTGCATGACAACAGAGCATTTTCAGTATCCCTGTGCTGCCCTCTAGTGGTCCTTTGGAGTTCTGCATTCAAGAACTGATAGCGTTAAGGACATATTCCAGGTCCTTGTTTCCTGGAAGAATTATACAGATATGCTAAAAATAGCTTGAGCTATCTATGTATCTAATTTTAGCTTTCCAGTTAACATGATAAGACACTAATTATTTTAGTATCTTTCATTCTGAAAAGTATATACATTTTTTTTGCTAACAAAAATATTTTGCATGTTCATTTCAGGGCTCTATCTTATCAGAAAGTACTGGCAACCTCAATACAATTACTACAACCAAATGATTTGCTCAGTCCCGAATCCTTGCAATCAAGAAACTAAAACAAAATCAATCTATCATACTGTATCATCTCCATGTGCTTAAATGTTATCAGAGTATTACAAAATCTAATTAATTCATATAGATATAGAATCACAGAATGACAAAGTTGGAAGATCTTGTGGTACAAGATGCAACTTAATACATGCTGTTCATGCACAATGCTAAAATATAATCGTAACAAAGTTAAATCCAAAATAATAACATCAGTACTGTATCAGAATACATGTAGTCCTCATTTAGTGACCACAACTAATATCCTCAATTTAGTAATCAAGCAAAGTGATCATTACATGAAACTGCAACTCTATTTATGATCTTATTTCAGCTTTACTTTGCTTTACAGACTTGTGAAAGTAATGAATGTGAGGACTGGATGTAATTTTTTCATCACTGTTGTAACTTTGAACAGTCACTAAATTAAGCAGTCACTAAGTATCTGTATACCATTATTGTACCAAAAAGCCAGTAGACATAATTCCATTCTAACAAAAATAATTTAATCTGAATACTCCGTGCAGTCCAATTGCAAGTTACCACAAAGAACAACAAAAAAAAGGTAAATCTTGGACAAACTTTTCAATGTTATGATATAGAAGTATAAAATATAGAAAAAGGTTCATTTCACTCTGCTACATAATAGTAATAATAGTATAAAATGGAAGATCCTAATTATAATTTCATTCAGACATTCATTCTAATGTACTGGGAAACAATTTGATAGAATAATTTGTAGTCAGAAATTTCTGAAATGCATCATAGAACTACATTAATAAGAATGTCTTCCGCAAAGAAAAAATAGTATATGCTTCATGCATCCTATGAAGAGAAGGATAAAATAAATTAAGAATAAAACTACTTTTGTCACTTGAAATGCTCTCATGTTTAGGGTTTTTTTTTTTTTTTTGGCCTGTTTTAAGTTATAAAAGATGCGAAAGATCCATTCTACCAGTATAACATAAATTAATAGTAAAGTGATCTAATAATATATTTTTCCATTATAAATATATAAATGAAAAAAATAATATGTATAATAAAATAATAAAATATACAAAGCACATATTACAATAGAACTCATGAAAAAGAAAAAATCTTTATAAAATCTTTAGTTTTTCAAAAAATTTCAAAGATAAAAGTGTTAAAATATTAGTAGAAGCAGAAATATAACAATAGGATTCCGAAAATTTTAATAAGGTGAAATAATTACAAAATTAGATATATGGAGAAGGAAAAAGGAATCAAAAGATACTCAGTTCTAAATGTATTTTCTCTTTCTGTACCAACATTGAAGGCTATAACAGGTTTTTTTTTTAATTTATTAAATTAGATTTCCAAAAATGAGCATTTTTCAACTAAGAGAGGATAGAAGTAACAGTAATGAATGCAATAGTGAAAAAAATTTAAAGGTGAACTCTAAAAGTAGAATTATAAATCAGTACTGGTAAAGAATAATAGGATAAAACTATAATTAATTATCTGAAATACTCTAATTGCACATTGTGCTCAAATAAAGTAGTGGAAATTGTGCTATTTCCATTTGTTAATAAGAAGTTGATTTGGAAAGGAGGAATTTCAGGTAGAAATTACCAGTATGAAAAAGTGTATGTGATCCTTTCCCCTTTCTATTTTTGATCACTCTCTCATAAAACTGTCCAGAAACATCGTGAAGTATATAGAATCTCATTGAGTGAAGAAACCAGTTGGCAATTAAGAGCACCATAGGGAGTAAAAAAGCATTTTTCAACACTGAACATGGTCTGTTCTTCTCTATTGTCTCAGATTGTATTTTCATTTTAAGTATGACATCAGCATTAAACTGTACGTATTGATATTTCACATGTCAATGGACATAGGATAATAAAGGCTCCAGTGAGAAACATATTAATGAAAACTGGGGGTGGGGGGAGGAAATCTAACAAGGTAACAGAAAAGAAAACCAACCACTGGAAAGTAAAGAAAATGCCAGGAACAGCAATACAAGGGAGAGATCTTTGCTATCATGTCTTTGGAAATGGGAAATACATCAAAATAAGTTATTAGTAGTCACTCCTGTAGCATAATACAAAAGAAATGATCTTTGTACCACTATTATGATTGTAAAAAGGTTTCATAGAAATTAGGAGAGAAAGCCTTGATTAAACCAGGTTATGGTTCTAGTTTCTTGCATATAATTATTTTTTTAATATGAAAACAATAATCACATAATGTTAATGGGCAAAACTGTTCTATGCTACAGTCCTTAATTAAAGCTATTAATCTATCTTTTTTATTTTCAGAAGACATTTGAAACAATGTCTTAGTAACAATCCTTGCAGTAAAAATAGGGAAATAATATTGCTGAAAGTTTTGCAACTTATTTTTAAATTTAACCAGGGAAATATTATGCAGTACCACCGCAAAACAATTATGAAAACAATTATTGATTTTTAAAAATCATGCAATATGACTAGGACAATTAAGAGAATTTCTTTTCAATATCAATATTCAGCATCCACTGGCCCGGACTATGTTTTACCACCCATGAGGGTCTGTCATAGAAGAGGGCAGTCTTTATAATCTAATAAAGTCAGCAGACATCATGCAAGGTTACTAAAATCTTGAGAAATCTAGTGCTCTCATAACATGTCAAACAATTTTTAAATTGTAAAAATATTTCAAATTAATTTTAGAATCTCTACTAGGGTGAGAAGCTGCCTGTATGTAGCGATGCTAGTAAATGTTGTTTTGTCAACCTTGGCATAATGAGGGACCACAAACCTGTTCAATAACAATATGGTTATCTACATAACTAGAAATCCTGTTTTCTTCATAAGCTGCCCAAAATCTTATGAGGTAGGCAGCATACACGTGTTTTAATTGAATAAATAAAGTGAAAGCTTGGAAACCATAAAGCTAAACATAATGCCCAACAATAAAATATAGCTTATTTATAAGGAAAACTGTCCAACATTTAAGTAATACATATTGTAATTTATATAAATAGTCAGTTCTGAAAAACAGTAACATCAAAAACAATCTTACAGCAAATGTTTTTTTTTTCTCTTTAGATATTCAGTAATAAAGCAAGCCTACCTTGACACATTTTCTGGAATGTATTCTAGAACTGGATACCCATCATTTCTTCTGCCAGTCAACTCAGAATGTGATTTCCATGACTCCACTAGAGGAAACGAGCTCATATGCTGAAAAGACTGCTCTCTACCAATAGGCCGTGATAAAGCTATTCTGCCTTGAGCACCAATCCTATAGTGAAATGACTGTCCACCAGAATTCACTCCAACAATGGCAGAGGAAGGTAGAGTACTTTCTTGATAATAATTGTTTTCTTCAGGCTCCTGTTTAATTCCTATAGATAGACCTGAATTTGGAAACCCACTAGTTTCACATGTGCCATCAAATGATGAAACAGGTGGTCCTAAAATCCCAGAAAGAGAATAATAGTCTTTATCATCCATGAAAGAAAAATATGATCCATCCATAAATGGAAAGGGATTTGCGGTGTGATTCCCTTTAAAAGAAGCACCAGAACAAGAATGTTTAGCTGATTCTTGCTTTATTGATACTAAAAATGGGGAATCAGAATTCATTTTGTTATTTTCTCCAAGACATGAGCTACTAAATATCCCTTCTGGTTCAGGTTTTATAAACTGAACAACAGTCATCTGATTAGCTACTTCACTGATAGGGATGGCATTTTCTATTTGCTCTATTTTAGGAAATACGATTTCAGAAGCACCTTTCTTCTCTTTTGAATCTGGACTAGGAACCATGTCTTGAGTTGCACCAAGTCCAACCGATGTACTAGATGCCGGAAAGGTCACTGCACCATTTACAGGACTACACATTGAAGATCCCACAGTGCTTATGGCAGGACTAGAAAGAGTGGATCTATTATTGGCATTGGAAGGGCTGGCAATAGAGCACCTTGAGTTCATATTTGCAGGACTGGATACTGAGGATCTCATTGTTATGTTATTAGGACTTGAAACTGGAGATTTCACACTACAATGACTAGGAGGGCTTGAAATAGGTGATTTCATGCTACTTATAGGACTAGAAAGAGGAGATCCCACATTGCTAGTATGTGGAGGACTATGTAACATTGAACCTCGATTTTCAATGTTAGGTGAACATGGCAAAGGTGTTCCCTGGTTTACTGGACTATTTACGGTGAAATTTGTGAAGTTAGTAGGAGTAGTTGATGATACAGAACTAATTCTAGGAGGGCTGCATACTGAAGGAGTCATGCTTTGAGGACTACAATCAGAAGAATTCTTCTCTTGACACACTCTAGGACTTTTGGTGATAGATGGTACAATACCACCATTCACAGAGCTTGCACAGTCTGATATTAGAGGTCTCAAGCACCTATTTGGGGTGTTCAAGGGAGAGGTATGATGGCCATTCTCCTTATATAATTTTACTAATTGCTCAACATTTTGATACATCTTTGCAGAAGTTAAGCTTCCTTGCTGACTTTGCTGATCATAGGTAAAATCAGCATCTCTTACAGAATCCATGTATAAACCCATTGATTCAGCTACTGTTGCAGAAAGTTCCTTGGAGTCTAGTTCAATTTTTATATCAGAGGGTAAAATAGCCGGCTGTCTGTGATCTGGCTGAAGACAAGAAATTAGCTCAGGTTTTTCTTTGTTGCTTCCTTGAGAACTGGTATTTGGAAATGTGCCAGAAACACAGCTCACATTTACGATCTCCATATAGTTATTACTCTCTTCGGACTGTTCTTCTGCTCCTTTAGGAGTGTACTCCATAGATTGTGAACCTTGACTCCAGCGCCTCTCCATATCTAGGCTTTCTGAATAACTGCGATAGCCTTTGGTCTCCATATCTAATAAAAGAAAACATCAAAATTATATATAAATATATATGCATATATCAATTTTCTTGCATATTAAAGAATGGTGGCTGCATTCCTAGACACGATTAAGTAAAACTTACTGAACATAGTGAAAATTATTTCAGATAGATGAACATCTGACTATGCTGTTTTTGATCTCATTTAATGGCTAACAATTAAAAACAAAATTTATTATCTTGTGATAATGGAATTTTTAAAAAATTATGAGCCAACAAATGTAAATTTTGTACAGTTATTTCATTTTCTATGCTACTGACAGAAAATAAAATGACCTCAGAGTACATTTTATTTTTATTAGTAAGTTTGGTGCTTCTTTTACTAAAGGATGAGGTTTAGTTGTATTATAATGTACATTGCTCATGAGTATTACATTTTAATATTTCCCACATAGTGGAGATTCTCTTTCCTCCATAATCTACCCCCCCAATTTGGATCATTTTAAGAATCTTATAATAAAGATTTCCAATGCAAATGATTTCTTAACAAAATAACAACCCTTAAAAGTATATATCAATGTTAATGTTGCTCAATAATATACAAAATAAACATAACATTCATCTTATTTGGAGTCCTACAGAGAAAATTATTTTTTATATAAAAATGCACAGCTGTGTTTATGAAATGTTTGTATTCACTCAATCAGGCAAGGAAGGTATACTGCAGATCCTGTCAGTCAAAGAATTTTAACTGGCAGGGTCTAGGAAGAGAGCCTTCTCTGCCACTGCCCCCTCCTTATGGATCATCCTTCCTCCAGAGGTTAGGAAGGTCCCCATGAAGGTCTTCTGGTCTTCCATGAAGGGCTCAAAGTTGGCTCTGCCATTGGCTCTCCATCTTTATTAATCAAAGTTAAATGGCCATATTGGTTTTTTATTTCTTTGAAATTTTATATCTCATAATTCTAAAATTTTAAATTAATTTTAATATTTTAAAGCTAACTTTATTTGCCCTAGGCAGTGCTTCCTTGAGGGAGATGGGTGGTCTAGATACATGAGATATTAATTAATTAAACATTTATAACATTGTTATTTTGGTTGAGCAGATTGACTATTTTACATACAGAATTTCCTTTAAAGTTTAATAGAATTTCCAAAGACTCAGTTTCCTATTTTAAACAAGTAAAGCATATAACATATACTATATCCAGTGCTTTTTTTCTAAAAAAAAAAAAAAAAAAAGTTGCCGGAACTCACACACATCATACAACCCGCCTTGCCTACCCTATAAGGTTCCATCCAAAAAGGTGCCGGAACTCTGTTCTGGGCATTCTATGAGAAAAAAAGCCCTGACTATATCATTTAAAAGAGGCAATTTCTTTTCTATATTCACCAAAGAAACACCGCACTATATGCTGGAGAAAAGTGTTTTGGAATCTGTCTGTCTGTTTATCTATCTGGATGGAAGATGATAGATAGATAGGTAGGTAGGTAGATAGATAGATAGATAGATAGATAGATAGATAGATAGATAGATAGATAGATAGATAGACAGACAGACAGACAGACAGACAGACAGATGAAAATGCTACCACTAACTTAAAGTGCTACATTACTCGCTTTAGTACAACACTATACATGTCAATGAAACATTTTCTGAATTTAATATTTTACTATAGATATGCTAATAATTTGAATATAATTTAGCAGTAAAACAGTCCCACACCTTATAGTGACATCCTTTACTGTTGACCAAGCTGCCCTTTTCTCATCCTCAAATAATGCTATTATCCCAAAACAACAAAACAATTCCCCTGTTTTACACAAGTGTCTCAACAGCAGCAGCAGCAGCAGCAGCAACTGTCCCAAACTGGATCCTCAAATCACAAAAACAAGCAATTACAATTTGTTCCATTACTCCCAGAATATGCCCAAATTACTACTCCCTGTGTAAGTGCTTTAACACTTTTATCAATCTGATTTCAGTATATATATCAAAAAAGTTTACTTTCTGAAGGATCCTAAATTCTTATCTAAATGTCTATGTAGACATCCTAACAAACTTGTAAACTCAGCAGGCAGTGGGACACCACAATTAACCCTATGTCTTCAAATTCCATATCTAAGGCACAATGCTTGTATGTACAGTATATTTGCCTTTGAAAGCAGTGATAGTGCTATCAACAGTCTTAAGAACTCAAATTATTGAACTATATTCACTTGAGAAGATACTGTAAAGCAGTGTTTCTCAACCTTGACAATTTTAAGGCATTGCTGGCTATAGAATTCTGGGAGTTGAAGTCCACATGCCTTAAAATTGTCAAGGTTGAGAAACACTGCTGTAAAGCCTTCTGTAGGCCAAAGCGATTTGATCATCTATAAACATTAGTTTTCACACAAATTTTATTTTAATTAAGGAGCATTAGCCAAGGAGTGGAGATCCATTAGGGATAGTTGTAACACTAGCATAGATATTTGAAAAAGCAAGATATATAAATATAGCAAGATGTAGATTTACATTTTAATCAATTGAGCCTTAAATCTGGTTTAAACAAAGCACACTTTCATAGAGTTCACTTTCAAACTGCTGACAATTAAAGCAGAATACAAATTGATTGTGATCAGCCATGCACTCTGTATTACAGCAAACATATGGAAAACATATTTTGAGAACGAGCCCTTGTTGCTTATACGTTGATTACCATAGCCAAATATGTACATAGTTATTAAAACTAAACTGAGCTTCTGCTGTTTATCAATCAATTGCTAACTTTTTAAATCTTTTTAACCCATCTGATATTTAAATTTTTGGTGAGCTTTAAGAAGTAACCATAGAACTCGCATTAATCAGGAAAAGTGACTTATGACCATAATTGAGCCCAAAATTTCTGTTGTTAAGTGAATTTGCCCCATTTTATGATTTCTTGTAGTTGTTAAGTGAATCTCTGCAGCTCTTAAATTAGCAACATGGTTGTTAAGTGAATCTGGCTTCCCCATTTGACTTTGCTTGTCAGAAGGTCGCAAAAGGTGATCACATGACTCCAGGATACTGCAACTGTCATAAATAGAAACTAGAATTGCAATCCTCCCAAGTTTGATCATGTGACAACGGGGATGTTGCAATGGTTGTAAGTATGAAAAACAGTCATAAGTCATTTTTTCAATGCTTTTGTAACTTGGTCACTAAATGAACTGTTGTTAAGTCAAGAACTACCTGTACCACAATGTTTAGTAAGAATTCTTATGAGATAAATTTTTGTTTGAACCATGCGGCATTATTCTGTGCTTATTTCTGCAATAATTCTCCCTTGGTTGATTGAGGATTGTTATTTATTATTGTTTTTCAAAACAATTAGGAAACTACGGAAGTAATATCCAACAATATGAAAAGATGCCAGATTGGAAAAACTACTACAAAACACATATATACATCACAATAAGCAAATGTAGTATAGAAAGTAAGTTTATAACAGTCTAGTCTCTATTCTTCACATAATTAAGAACTTTTCTATACTACAAAATCCAGAAATAAACTATATCAATTCAATGGATTTTACTTCTATCAGATTGCAACTGAAAACTGGTGTATCATCTTCCAGTTGAGCAGCAAAAAATATCTATATAAAAAGATGTATCGCTGTTGTTCAAGGGAATTGAAGTAATAACATTGAAAAAGAGTTTACAATATTCTAATATTAATAAAATCACATATTTATTAATAATAAATCTTTAAGATATAGTTATCCAAAAGATATGCAATTCAAGTGAACTATTTACTTTTATATTCCTATTTGGATATTTTCTATGGACTTTTCATTTTGCCAAATTCACACTTTCTCCTGCAAGCATTAATTTGTTTTCTCTTAGTTGTCTTTGACATACTTGTGATCACATGCTCTTTCAGTTATTTAATTCAGTTTTTTCTCTTTAATATCACTCTTAATTATGTGAAGTAACAGAAATTATTCACTTAAATACAAACACATTGAAAAACAGTTTTCATAGTCATACGATTGCCCAAATCTGATAAATACACCATTCTATCTCCAGCAAATAAAGACATCTTTATATGACTATAAATTTATTTTTTGAAAAATTGTAAACAAGAAAGACATATCTGTAACCTTGCAAAACCCAATGATGGCAAAGCATGTAAAACATTATGCACATAAATTACTAGTAACAAACTTATTCACTCACATTAAGCCATTTGTAGAAAATCATGGCATATATCTCTATCAAATTTGTATGACATCATCAATTTCTCCTGGAGTTAAAAAAAGTAATATTACACAGGATATTAGAAAAAAAGAGTTAAGAATTAATGTAATGAAACATTTCATTATTTATTTTATTTTATAGTATTTATTTCTCTATGTGCTTATTACTGATAATTATAGTTTGATCAGGCAAAAGCATCAATGTATCCTTCTGTTTTGTTTTTTCCACCCAAACAAAACTAAAGCATTAGCAGGGCTCTTATTTTAGAACAAAAAACTCCTAATATCAGAAATTCTGATCTCATGAAACATGCAGACTTTTATCTGGTCTATAATACAAATATCTTAATTTAAACTAAATAGTATGTATTTGTAATGTGCTCTAAAACATTTAGTTGGAAGCGTCCAGCATGGAAGTCTACCTCAGCAATCTAAATATTGCAATGCTTTCTCACAGAGTTTAGGACAACCTAGTTATGTGATCACCCCACTACCTTAGAACATGCCTAACCAAAAGGTTGAAAATAATCTGCCATCAGGTCATCCAGTGAATTTCATTACTAGCCATACACCAACACAATTCTTTGTGCTCTTCTGTAATTCAAGATACTGATAATACTGAACTCAAGTCCTAGCATACTGAGTACTACCTTACTTCTCCACCCCATCCCAGTGTAGCATTTTGAGATCAATGAACAATAAAAATGCCTATGTATGTGACTTATACATAGACCTGTATCAAATTAATACTAGGTTATTAGGTAGATCACACAAATAGTTAATGTCAGGTTTCCAAGAAAGGAACTATACATTTTTTATTATTCCATTGAGTCATTTGATTTTAACAATATAAATGACCAAAATTGAAACTTTTTTTGCAGTAATCTACAAGCATTGAAATGCATACAGTTCAGACAACTTAATCACTATTTCTTCATTTTGAAAAATTCATAAATTGCATAATTATTCAAAACAATATCCCATAACATCATCTGGCATGTCTATGGATGCATTTGCAAATAGATCCTGAATGCTATCTACTGGTATGATAAAATAATGCAAATTAAATTGCTAAACCAAGGTTCAAAATACAATGCCAGCTTAACAGGCTTATCAAATTAGAATTTTTAAATGTGCTGTGCATGCTGCCTTTGCATCTTGAAAGAAGGGTAGATTATACATCTAATAAATTCATTAAAAATGTTTCATAATACCTTTCTGCACATACATTCATTTGGAATGAATCCTACAGAGTTTTCAAGCTATTTCCAGTTTACTTAAACTGAAATCACAAAAGCTATTCAAATATCATTTTGAAATTTAGAAAATGTACACGCAGCTATAAAAGAAATTACAATCTGCGTAGGAGCGCATGAAACTTACAAATTCATGGAATATGTGCTAGTCTTTATTTTGCACCACTGGCTGGGATGCTAACTCACCTTCTACTATCCTCTATAATTTTAAAATTAACTCTGCCTGAATTCCAGTGGAGTTGGGAAACTAATAACTTTAAACAAGTAATAACATAACTCCCAACATAACCTATTTCCTAAAGAAGCATAAAGTCCATCCAGCATTACTTGACAGCTTCACACCCAGACAAAAGCATCCTAAAACCAGTAGTTTCTGCCTTGAGTTCTGGGTGCGTGGACTACCATCTGACACATTTTTAGTTTTCCAAACTATTCTGATACTTGCATTTTAGCTGAAAATCCAACTCTTCTAAAATAGGCTATTATGGGAGATACGTTTCTCATGAGGATCTCATAATAGGGAATCTGCAGAATAACTGCCAGGAGTTAAAATTAGACAGTCTGGAAGAACACCTGATGCAAAAAAAAAAAAAAAAATTGCCCAGTTCTGAGATAGGTATAAATATCTCACGCCATCCTCTCTTAATTTCCAACTCTTTCACCTTGAGACGATTTGTTTGACTTGTAGATGCCCCCCCCCCTGGCTACAGTTTCAACAATCAGAAGGAATTTTCTCAGTACGCTAGAAATATATCTGCCCTCTGCCTCCGACTGCTATCTCTCACCTCTCCTCCAAGTGACATCCACCTAAAGTCCACATCCACGAAGAAAAATTCCAAAGGTCGCAACTGAAAAAGGAACGAGAACCAATTTATTCTTCATAACGGATCCTTAATTTCAAATTTGCCTGGTCCACCGACACCGTGCAGGGCAGAGGGAAAGGCGGCGGCGGGGGGGGGGGACCGCTAAGGTGCCAAGTCCTTTTAAAAACATGTCACATGCTCAGATAAAGTTCAGATGAGATTCCACCTCTCTCTCTCCCCTATTGGTCGACGAGAAGAGCGGAGCCTCGATATCGGAGTCCGTAGCGAACTTCCATTGGACAAGTCTTTTTGTCAGTCACCCGGCAGGCGACATGACTGATACAAAGTTGCTGCGACACAAGCTAGAAAATGTATCTCCTCTTAAAGCTGTAGAGTCTCTGTAGCAGAGCGGCTCGCGTCGCTTCCCTGTAAATTTCCTCCGCCTCCCTATCGATGCCAGGAAAAGTGAGATTTAGGAATTGATCTTTGCAACACTAACAACTTTCATGATAACAACAACAGAGGGATAAAGGTAGCTTCCAAAAGGGAAACTCGCTCAGTTCGGCCTCCGAATGAGAGTTAGAACTAGAACCCACGCCCTCAAGCTGCCAGCCTTTCCTAAATTGCATTCCCTCTAACCGTTTCCTGTTAAAAAAGAAAAAGAAAAAAGAAAAAAGAAAGCTAAGATCCGAATTGGGAGGGTTCGCTTCTCAAGTCGCTCCTGCGCGCCTCTGGGGACATGCTCTCCACCTGTATCAAGGTAAGCGCCTGGGGAGCCCCCTCTCATCTGCCCTTAAACCCACTCTGGGAAGCAAGGACATGCACGTTTTCATCTCATGCAGTGAAAAATCGCCACGCTTACAGGGTAGCAAATCCAGCTTGTCAGAGCAATAAGCAGCTTCTCCCCCCCCCCACTCAAAAAGAAAAAAAAAACCCAAAAGCAAACAGAAACCTTATTAAGAGGCTCAAGGACTTGCCCTCTGGTTCTCAGATTGGATTTTATTGCGTCTAGTAGATTCTTTGCCAACTGCTTCTTTGGATTTTTTTTAAAGTTGCACAGACTGATAAGTAAAGGCCATAAAAATTAACTCCCAAACTCTAGCCCTTTAGCAGGTTTTGGAAACATTTCATCACATGCTCCATCTTTGTGGCCAGAGTTTCTAAATATATATTTAGAAAGACAATGACATCCTCTCCCTCCTTTTATTGGACGGGCAGAAATGCCGCATGTTTTCAGTCTTCATGGAAAACTGCTCAACTCCACACACCCCCAAATTTTTGACACCCCACCCAAACGGCAGCGGTGTTAACATTCCCCCCTCCTTCCGCCAGGAGACAGCTCTTTCCCCCTCCCTTCCGTTTGTGTACACACCCTTTTCGATCCAATTTCCCTCGATAAAAATGCCCAACTCCTCCTCCCCCCAAAATAAAATAGCCTAGAGAAATAAAGTTTAATGAAATTCCAAGCAAGCCAAGCTGCAGAAGTCCACCGATGGCACGCGAGACAGAAATCACTCCAAAATAACACTTTTCCCAAAGCAAAACGTGCTTAGCGATTTTTTTAAGGAAAAAAAAAAACCAACCCGCCCCCTCCCAGGCTGTTTTCTTGCAAAAGGGGGGATCCAGCTACTCGAAAATATAGATTGACTCTCTGAGATGTCACGTGCCCTTAATGTTTTTAGCCTTTTAATACATATTGATCCGCGTTTTTTGGAGCCTGGAGCACCTGAACACCGAGCTACTTTAGTTCCGTTGCCCCAAAGGCCGAAATGCTCTTGCGATGCCTTTCTCTTTCCCCTCCCCGCCCGCTAAGTTTTAAATTGGATTAAGCGAGGACTGGCAATGACCTGGAAGTGCCTCTTCTGCATGTTTTGGCTCAGAGAGGCACTTCGTCTGACTACGGCTACCTAGTAACCCTTCTTTTATTCTCCGTGCAAGGACATTTTAATTCCTCTCCAGAAGAACTCTCCCTCGGTCACTCTGTCTCTTTACCTGTCCGCCTTGGGACTCCGGTCAAAAAGATGGTGCGGCGTGTGGCTTTTTCCCCCCCTGGACTCACCTTCATTTTTCTACCTCCGTTTCGACTTGGCAATGGCCGGAGGAGCAAGTCCTCCGAGTCCGCTCCAGAAAGCGGCCGATTAGGGAAGAGTAGCAACGAAGAAGGTGGAATCCGGAGAAAATCTGGCTTAAATCCCGAAGGAGACGGACCAACCCGCAAAGGAGCTCGCTAGAGATTTCCGAAGCGGCGTCTGAAAAAAAAATCAAAAGCAAAAAGCAATCCTGCTAGCTTCTCTCAGGCGACCCAGGGCCGTTCAACTGGAAGCGGAGAAGTCCACTTGGTTGAGCCTTCCTCGGTGACAGTTCTCTGCAAGGAGGGCCGGCTGAAGGGTCTTCCCCGGCTGTCACATCGCCGACTGCGGCTGAAAGGCGGCGGGGAGATAAAGCTCGAGCATCGGATCTAGCCGTGGTTTCAAATTCTTATTTGGAGAAAAAAAAGAGGGCGGAAATCCCCCAACTTATTCCAGGTAAAAACTCCCGTCTGCGCCTGCAGCTCCGTCGCCGCCGCCGCGGGAAGAGGTGGATGGGAGGGAGAGCGAGCGAGCGAAGGAGAGCGCAGCTACCGAGGGTGTAAACTTTTCTCTCCCCTCCCCCGGCGTCTCTTCAGAGCAGCCCAGTCTGCGCGGGTGTCCTTCCTTCCTTCACCTTCCCTCTGCTGCCGCTGTTTTTTCCTCACTCCTCCTCCTCCTCGCTTCCCAGTATTTTTCTCTCACGCTCGCACTCTGCCGCTGGAGCTGCGTCCCGGTTTGCGGGGCTGCTGGAAGGAGTGGGAGGAGGAGGAGAGGACGAGCGGGAGGGGCACCCAGCGCTCTCTCTTTCTCCCCCCCCCCAGGCGTATCTCGCGGCGAGCGGCGGACTCTCAGAGCCAACGAGATGGCCTCTCCGCCTCCTTCTTCCCGCCCCTCGGGCTCGAACGGGAAGGGAGAGAGAGGCGAGCGCCACACGGACTGCCCGCCACCGGCTTTGCCGTCCGGTGTCTGGTTCGGGCTGAGCGACTCGGACTTGCTTATGCGCACAGGCGGAGGAGGGAGGGAGGGAGGCCGGGGAATGTGCCAGGCCAGCCAGCAGACGGAGTCGACCCCATCGTAGATCGCAGGGGTGGTGACGAAACGCTGCCCCTACGAGAGACGCGAGAAGGTGGCTGTCTGCGGCCTTTGCTCTTGGTAACTGCTATCTGGCCGCTTCTTCCCTCCACCTTTGCTCCACTCAGCGATGCACAACAGGTTTTTGTTTCCTTTTCAACCCTCCTCCTCCCTGCCCGTGTCTGTACACGTGCCGGCTGGAGGAAAAAGGAGACGCGGCTTACAGGCAAAGTTTATAAGGCTGCCTATTTAGTACCCGGCACCGAAGAGATTCGCAAGGATTCGTTGCTTAAGTTCTAACAGATACAAGGATATTGGTGGTTTTTGTGCCATCCTGTATATTAAGAGTTCGGTTATAGAAGAGCATTTATGAGTTGAACTTGAGTTAGAAAAGAGGGAGAAGGAATAAAGAGGAGGGGCAAGGATAGGGAGCCAAACCCCCTTCCCAAGCATTTTTCTCCCTCCCGTTTATGAACCGTGTTGCGTCCTTGGCGGGAAAACAGACACGAGAAGCAGCTGGAGTTCTCAGTTTCTTTTATTCAGCGTTCAGCTTACAGGAAGATGGCTTCTGCCTCGCCCAAACGCCTCGCAGCCTCTTATATAGGCAACTCCCGGGTAAATGGGTTACTTTTCCCGCGCCAGCACCCGCGCATGCGCACGGCGCTGGCGACAGCCTGTCTGGTCCCGGGCAGCTTTGCACCTGCCCGGGACTGCCTGCAAACGCCCGAGCCGTTTGCAAAGGCTCGGGACATAACACCCCTTTCCCCCGGGCTAAAACTACTACCAACATACAACATTTATTTTATATGACATTTTGCTCCCCAGTGCTCCCACTGTTTACTGGCCTTTGCCTTGCCAGCAATGTTATGTAGTCTTCTAGGTACTTGGGAGATTTCTTTGCTCTCTGTGACCTTCTTAGCTGTGGATTACTGGCATAAGTCCCCTGACTGGAGGGAGGCGTGAGCCTGTTCTCTCTATTGTGTCCTGGTGTCTTCCAAGGACTGTGCCCCGATGCCTGGCCTGCTTGCTTGCCCACCGGGCTCGTCAGGCCAGGGCTTCTGTTACTTTGTGACCTGGTTGACCTACCTAGCTGTAGACCCTCAGGCCCCTTGAAGTGATAGCCGCTGCTGGGCGTCTCTGTAGAACCTCCTAGGTCAGTCCAAGACCTGTCAGGAGGCTGTCCATTCCCTGAACCCCATTCTGTGTTCGGGCTCGTGTGGGTTTCTGTACTTTCCCAAAACTCAGGTGTTCCCTGATTTGTGCTAGGGTTGTTGTAGTCGGGACTTGGTTCCTCGACTAACTCTGTGTATGTTTGACCCCCTGTAGGATTTGGGGTAAGGTCAGGCCAACCTTGGGAATTGTGTGCCAGTTCTCTTGCGGGGAATGATTTGTTGGGATGCCCCCGGGTATCCTCCGTTGCTGGAGTGCTGTGTGATGTGTGTGGAAAGTGAGTATGCCCCCGGGGTGACTCCCTGGCTGGAGTAGGCGTGAGTGCCTGTTGTGTGGGTAAGCTCCATGACTTTCTTTTCGGAGCAATTGCAGAACCTTGGGACGGGCCGTTTGTGGCTCCCTCAGTGGAGATGGGCAGTAGCTCTTGCCCTTCCCTTTGCTCCAAAGGGTCCCCCTCCCCCCCTGGAAAAGACCCAGGAGTCTCAGCAGAAAAGTCTCGCCTAGAGCGAAGTTGGTCGATGTGCCGACGCAGGACACGACCGTTGTCCAGGGCAACCTCGTAGGAGAGAGGACCTGTGATCCTGGACACAGAAGCGGGGACCCATGTATGACCAGGCCCGTAATTGCGAGCCCAAACCGGGGCACCCACAAGTAGTTGTCTAGGTGCCCTAGGATGTGAGGTAGATGAAGGCAGTCTGTCCGGATGCAACCGGTCAAGTCTAGTAGTAAGTTGGCGCCCCCAACGAAGTTCAGCTGGACTTCTCCCTGTAGAAGTGGACGGTGTGGTGCGATAAGAAAGGAGAAAGTCAGCCAACCTGTGATGCCAGTCCCCGTAGGTGAGTCTCTTCAAGGCGTCCTTTGCGATGCGCACCATGCCAGCCATACCGTTGGTGGACGGGTGAAAAGGCGCAGACGTGGCATGACGAATCAGGTTTGCCTGTAAGAAAGCTTGGAATTCGGAGGAGGTGAATTGAGGGCCGTTGTCGGACACAATGACATCTGGCAGCCCGTGTGCAGCAAAAATCCCCCTCAGTACCTGAATAGTCTTTGCAGTGGTGGTGGATGAGACAGGCACAACCTCAAGCCATTTTGAATGGCTGTCAACAAGGACCAAGAAGAACTGGCCCTGAAAGGGCCCAGCGTAGTCAATGTGCACCCTAGACCATGGGGACTGTGTTTCCTCCCATCTATGCACAGGAGCTTGGGGCATCTCTGGGCGAGATCGTTGGCACAGGTGGCATGCGTGTACCTTAGCCTCAATATCTTTATCTAAACAGGCCACCACAAGTGGCTTCGTGCAAGAGCCTTCATACGAACAATGCCAGGATGACCCTCGTGGAGGGATTCTAAGACCCTAGTCCTCATTGAGGTGGGAATGACAACTCTGTTTCCCCAAAGCAGACAACCCTGAGAAAGGGACAGTTCGTTCCTTTTGGACCAGAAACTCTGAAACTCAGGACTAGGGCAGTGCTCAGGCCACCCGGACAGGACCCAGGAGCGGACACGTGAAAGTGTGTGATCTGTACCTGTTTCAGCGGTAACATCCCTGGCACTAAGAGGGAGCTCGGGCAAGGCTTGGATTGATAGAATGTTGACAGCTGGCGCGGGGTCAGCTTCTACTACTGGCAGAGGCAATCTACTGAGGCCATCAGCATGGCCCATTTCTTTCCCAGGCTTGTGGAGTAATGAAAAATCATATGCAGACAAAAAATAGACCACCTAAGCATTCTAGGGGAAATGATGTGGGGAGTCTGCTTACGTGTGGTAAACAGTCCCAGCAGAGGCTTATGGTCAGTGAAGACCGTGAAATGCCTGCCATATAGAAAATCGTGGAATTTTTTAATTCCAGCAACAACAGCCAGAGCCTCCCTGTCTATCTGAGCGTAGTTGCGCTCGGCAGAAGACAGTGTTCTGGAGTAGTATGCAATAGGAACCTGAGTTCCATCAGACCTGAGGTGACTCAGGACAGCTCCAACCCCGTAGGGGGACGCATCACAAGCGATGCACACAGGAAGAGACTCGTTGAAATGTGCAAGAACACTGTTAGAAGTGAGCAAGGCCTTGACTTCTTTAAAGCAAGCCTCATGTGCTTGTGACCACAGCCACACAGCTTGTTTGTCTAGTAGCCTGTGAAGAGGCTCAGCTACACTAGCTTTATGTGGAAGAAAAGAATTGTAGAAATTCAGGAGGCCTAGGAAGGCCTGAAGTTCGGCCTTAGACTTTGGCCTGGGTGCTTCTAAAATAGCAGTTAGTTTGGATTCAGCAGGATGAATCCCAGCAGCATCAATTTTGAATCCCAGAAATTCAGTAGAAGGCACCCCGATCTTGCATTTGTCTTTTCTGAGCTTGAGGCCTGATTCCCTGAATCTTAACAGGACAGCCCTAAGTCTTTCAGCTAGAATGTGTGTGGAGTCTCCTGCAATCAAGACATCGTCAAAGTAGGGGCAGACCCCTGGTATACCTCGTAGTGTGTTTTCCATTACGCTTTGGAAAATCCCAGGAGCGACATTTACTCCAAACTGTAGCCTTTTTACTTTAAAGGCTCCCCTGTGGGTCACAATGGTCTGAGCTATGGCAGCATCATCATCAACAGGCAGCTGTTGATATGCTTGAGCTAGGTCAAGCTTTGCAAAAACACGCCCCCCCTTGAGAGAGGCCAGGATGTGACTGACCACAGGAACAGGATAGGCATGTTGCTGCAATGCCTTATTGAGTGTGCATTTGTAATCAGCACAAATGCGAATGTCCCCATTTGCCTTTAGAGGCGTGACAATGGGGGTCTCCCACGGGCTGGAATCAACAGGTTCTAGGATTCCCTGTTGGATTAGTTTGTCTAGTTCAGTGTCAATCTTACTTTTTAAAGCAAAAGGGACCCTTCTTGCTTTAATCCTAATGGGAGTGACAGTGGGGTCTAGCTTTAAGGACACAGGTGGTCCTTTGAATGTGCCCAGCTGGGGGCTGAAAACATCTGCAAATTCTTTGCAGACTTCCTGTAGGTCGAGTGTTTGTAAGCTGTTGAGTCCTGTGACGTGTATCCCCAGGGCCTCAAACCAATCGAGTCCTATGAGACTCGTTCGTTCACCCCCTACTACTAATAAGTCTAGTGGACCTTCAAAGCTCTTGTATTGCACGTTAAGGGTGGCCTCCCCCTTAACACACACTCTTGAGTTCTGAAAATCTGTTAATACAATATCAGAAGGCCTTAACTTGGCCTTAGACCCACTACTGGAACAAATCTTCCTAAATGTATGCAATGAAATGATGGACAGGGCAGACCCTGTGTCTAGTTCCATAGATAATGGAACCCCTTGTAGCTTCACGTTGAGTGACAGCTTTTTCTTCATGGGCTTGTGTGTGCCTGTTCTACAGATGCTTCTTCGCGAAGCGCAAAACCCTACCCTATTCTGGCTGGGGAATCTGGTACCTTTCAGGCGTTCTTCTTGGGGTTGTGCCTTTCGTCGGCTCAGACACACAGCTGCAATATGCCCTTGTTTGCCGCATGCCCGGCAGGTAGCGGAGCGGAACTTGCAGTCGGTTCTCCTGTGGCGACCTCCACAGCCGATGCACTTGAGCAGAGCCGAAGAGCTTCCCTTCTGGTTCTCTTCCTTCGCGGGGAGTAGACGGTCGGTTCTCTTCCTTCGCGGGGTGTAGACGGTCGACTTCCTCGTCCGGATCCTCCTCGGAGTTTCGTCGGACGTCTTCCTGGTGCACGGACGCACCCTCTGCACTGTTTCTGATCGGCCGCATGTTTTTGATGGCGCCGCCTGCTGCTTCTTCTGCGGTGACTTCCCTTAAGGCGTCTTGGAAGGATAATTCTTCCTTTGCGAAAAGTCTCTGTTGTAGCTCGCGATGCCTTAACCCGCACACGAATCGGTCCCTCAGTCGTTCCTCGAGGTCCTTGAACTCGCAGGGCTTGGCGGCCTTCCGTAGCGCGGCGATGTATTCCTTGGCTGTTTCACCGGACCGTTGATCCCTCTGCTCGAAGGTGTGGCGCCATGAGATAACGGACACCTTGGGGTGGAAGTGCTCTTTCAGCAGCTTCTTCAGGTCTGCGTAGCTTACAGACTCTACTGGAACAGGTGCTACAAGATTTTCTGCGATTTCGAAGGCGTCTTGGCCGCAAACGCAAAGCAGGGTGGCGGCCTTCAAGCTATCTTCCCTCACTTGGTTTGCCTTGAAGTAGTTCTCCATTCTGGATACGTAGGACTCCCACCGCTCTGGATGTGAGACGTCGAATTCCGAAAGCCTTCCGATTTTCGCCATCTTCGGATCTTCAGGAGACGGGTCTATCAGCCAGCCTACCCCCGAATGCGCACCGGATTGGCGGGCAGCTGCCGAGTCGACGCCGTTCCTCTTCCGCCGCTCAGGACTCCTTGGGTAAGCTTACACTTCTTCCTTTCCAGGTAGTGCAAGGCATCCCACCTTCGTCGCCAGTGTTGAGTCCGTGGCGGGAAAATAGACACGAGAAGCAGCTGGAGTTCTCAGTTTCTTTTATTCAGCGTTCAGCTTACAGGAAGATGGCTTCAGCCTCGCCCAAACGCCTCGCAGCCTCTTATATAGGCAACTCCCGGGTAAATGGGTTACTTTTCCCGCGCCAGCACCCGCGCATGCGCACGGCGCTGGCGACAGCCTGTCTGGTCCCGGGCAGCTTTGCACCTGCCCGGGACTGCCTGCAAACGCCCGAGCCGTTTGCAAAGGCTCGGGACATAACAAACCGCTTCAAGTTAACAGCTGCTTCTCTTAAAAAGGCAATGGAGAGATGCTTCTCTGTTACCCCACGTACCGGTAGTCTTAACTGGTGTTTCCAAATCTGTTGGACTAGAACAGGGGTAGGCAACCTCGGCTCTTTTATGACTCGTGGACTTCAACTCCCAGAATTCCTGGCTCAGGAATTCTGGGAGTTGAAGTCCACGAGTCATAAAAGAGCCGAGGTTGCCTACCCCTGGACTAGAAGACCTCCAAGGCCACTTCCAACTCTTGTTGTTCTGTGGTCTTGTATTCTAGATTATCAGCTGCATTTAAATAGCCAAGTGTATTTTATGCTCCTCAGAAGTGCAGTTATATTATTCATGCTCCTGTTAGTGAACAGTACCACAGGTCGAATACTCACATGACAGCATAAGTTTTTCATTATTTTTATATGAAATACTTCCATATATAAGCCATCCTCATTTAGTGACTGTCTTGGACAGCAATCACAATAAGGATGCTGATGAAAAAGTAACAGTATAACCAATCCTCTCATTTATGACTTTCAGAGGCCCATAAAGCAAAGGAAAGCTGAAGATTGCAAGCACAGTCACAGTTTCACTTAGTGATCACTTTGCTTAATATCTGAGTTGCTGGTCACAAAGGCAGTCACTAAATAAGGATTATTGTACTCTTTAAAATTACAGCTTGATAACCTGTATTGTAATAGTAAAAAAGGAGAGTGTTGGTTTCAAAAATTTAAATGTGAGACAGTGTTCCTCAAATTTAAAGGGTGCATTCAAATCCATTCTTATAACTAATAATTTATAGATTTTGATTTACACTGTTGAGAATTCTTAGCTACTGTTTAGGAATATTTTAATTGCAGGGGTAATTATTTGAATCAAGCAATTACTGTTAATGAGCTAGTAAGATAGAATGAGCAGCAGGAAGTGAGGCTGGCATGTATTAAGAGATAGCTTTCTGCATCAGAGTTGCCTTTCAGCTTGATGTCTTAAGTGGTGAGGGTAGTGCTCCTGGGTTGGCATTGCCAGGAAGATCTGAGAGTTCCCTGTTTAACTGTATTACCTGTATGTCTTCCTAATGTCTATATCAGGGGTCCCCAACCTGCAGTCCGTGGCCCACTACTGAGCTATGGCCTACTGACCACTGGGCCGTGGAACAGGCTAGCCAGTTTGTGCACATGTGTGCACACACTCACCCCCACTCGTGCTAGCTCCGCTGCTGCTACGCAAACGGGGCGCAGTGTGGCAAAAATAGGGTGCCACTGCTATACAAACAGGGCGGTGCACAGCACGAAAACTGGGAGGTGTGTGGCGCAAAAATAGAGGAGAACCAGGCTTTGGGTGGTGTGAAAACCGGGCAGTGCCCAGTGCAAAAATGGGGAAAACCCAGGCAGTGTGAGATGCAAAAATGGGCGAAAACTGGGCAGCACACAGTGCAAAAATGGGCAAACCGGGTGGCGCATGGTTCAAAAACCAGGCAGCGTGTGGTGTGAAAATGAGGTCATACACAGCACAGAAACGAGGGGAAACCAGGAGGTGCACAGCATGAAAACAGGTGGCATGAAAACCGGGTGGCGTGCAGCGCGAAATCGGGGGCAAACCGGATGGCACGCGGCATGAAAACTGGGCACCGCAGGGCATGAAAATGGGGTGATGCTAGCGCCCACGTGGAAAAACCGGTGCGGTGCTAGCAAGTGTCATGTGGTGCTAGCACTGTCCCATTTGCGTCACGTGTGCTCATGGCCCCATTTGTGTGCGTACATGTGTGCATGAGTAAAATGCTTTCTCCCCCTTTCTCTCTGGTCCGCCAACCAAGAAAGGTTGGAGACCTCTGGTCTAGATCAGTGTTTCCCAATCATGGTAACTTCATGATGTGTGTGTGGACTTCAGCTCTCAGAATTCCCCCATCAGCATGTTGTCTAGTAGGGAATTCTGGGAGTTGAAGTCCTGCACCTTGACATGGCAAAGACTGAGAAACACTGATCAAATAAGATTTTTAGCTGACTGAACACTGGAATTGTGGGTCATACTAGAAGGTACCATGTTGAAAAATATTGTCATTTTAAAAAAAGTATATTATAAAAGCCCAGTACATATTCCCAAGACACTTTTTTTTCAGGCTTTAGCAATGCTGTCAGGCTCTAAAACTGTGTTTCTCAACCTTGACAATTTTAAAGCATGTGGACTTCAACTCCCAGAATTCCACAGCCAGCAATGCTGGCTGTGGAATTCTGGGAGTTGAAGTCCACATGCCTTAAAATTGTCAAGGTTGAGAAACACTGCAGATGTATACATTGTGAGCAGAACTGCTAAGTTTATAGTTAAGGCCTTTGAGCTAAGAACTCGTTATATTAAACAGACTGGGTTTCTTGTAATGTGATGTATTTATCTAAATGCTGATTCTTTGTATTTACCACATATGTATTTTATTATTGTATTTTCTTTTATTTATTTTACTCTGGAATTAAATCATATATTTTATTTTTATTTTATTTTAACTTTTGATGTGGCCATAAGACTAATCAATTAATAAACTACTATCACTGCTGTCAATGCTCTCGAGTCATTTTTCCTCTCTCTAAACTGTCAAGGAAAGCAAAATGGTGGGAAAAGAAGAGAGAACATTATCTAAGACACCCAGAATAATGGGGAGTTTAGCATTTTTTAAAATTTATTTTTACCCTGCCCTTATTATTTTTATATATAAATCAAGGTGGCAAACTTGTCCCAAACACCTTCCTTCTCCTACCCACAAAAAAAAAAAAAAAGCATTTGATGATCCAGGTTTATCAGAAGAAAATTGATTTGGAGCCATGATAGATTTATAGAAAGTGCAAAAGGAAAGCAGATAAAGGTAAATTGTTTTCCACATATAGGCAGTCCTCACTTAGCAATCTAATTGTAGCCTGCAACCCTGTCACTAAGTGAAGCAGTCATAAAGCATGTCAGAAGTGCCTACTTATGATTGTAATTGTAGCAGTCCCTGTTGCCATTGTTAGATAAATCCTGTGCAGTCATAGCATGCCCCAATCATGCAGTTGCCATTTGTGACCTCATCCTGGCTTCCCCATTGACTTTCTTTGTTGGAAGCTGGCAATGAAGGTCCCAAATGAGATTAATGTGACTGAGATGCTGCAAATGTCATAATTGTGAGCTGGCTGCCAAGTGTTCAAATTATGATCACGTGACTGCAGAAATGCTATAATGAGCCTGTTGTCAGTCCTCATTCAGCGGCCTCATAGCTTCAAACAGTCACTGAACAAGTGACCGTTCACTGAGGACTACCAGTAGTATGAAAATTTGGACTCATTCAGTCAGACAGGTTAACCAGCAGAGATAGGGAACGATCTTTCACATGATATTTAGATGGTGATATTTTTTTAAAAGAGAAATAGACATAACCATGAAGGCTAAGTATTGCAGTCTATTAGGTTGATTTTAGGATTTTAAATAACTTCAATAGAACTTAGTGTCCCAATGCTATACTTTCATATGAGAAAGTATCTGATTTAACAGCACAAGATACTGGTTTAACACCGCCCTGCCTGTTCTGGTACATTTTGAGATCATGATGTATGAGTTACAGTCCAATCTATCTTGAGAACACCAGTTTGTGAACCATGATCTTTAGTATAATATTTTAATAACCTGGTAGGTACGTAGGTAGAGGGAGAGAGAGGGAGACTAAGATAGATAGATAGATAGATAGATAGATAGATAGATAGATAGATAGATAGATAGATAGATAGATAGATAGATAGATAGATAGATGGCTTTTAAGAGATGGCTTTTGATATACCCATTATTTTAGGTATCATGACACTGAAAGTAAAATGCAAGTAATCCATGAGTACATTCATGTTGGAATACAAAATTAATGAGAAACTAATGTAAAACCTGAAAAGAAGGAAAATGTTTTACTGGAATCTTTGTGCTAAACAATCAATTAATAATTAAAACAGTTTTAAACTATTTTTAAATATTTGGGAGATTATCTTCTGAGTTCAACTTGGCTTCAATATTATGCTTGGCACAGTATATACTTGGCACAAGAAACATGTATTAAATAAACAATACAACCTGGATTTCTTTAGCAACCTATGAGGTGCAGTAGTCACAATTTTAAATTCTGTAAGAAATCTGTGCTTGAACAAAACCAAAACTTTAATTTTATAAGGCATTAAAAAGTGAAGTAAAGGTTAATATTTTTGGCAGGGGTCTATTCTCCAAGCTTGCTGTTTAGCTCCCAGACGTTTCATTACCAAATTAGGGGTTTGGAAGCGAAGTGTCTTGTTCGTTTATATAGGGTGGTAGATTGGTCTTGTGACTGCTTGAATCACAAGACTGATTGAGTCATAAGACCAGCCTACCACCCAGGTCCTATATAAACGAACAAGACACTTCACCCCAAAACCTCACTGAAGATGTTACCCAGTTTGATAATGAAACGACCAGGAGCTAAATACAAAGCTCAGAGAACAGACCCCTACCAAAATCTACAACCTGAGTTGCTATATATATATATATATATATATATATATATATATATATATATATATATATATATATATATATATATATATATATATTTCAAGGAAGAACTAGACTCCAGTTTTAGCAGATCAATGGGCCCAGGTATTAAAAAATGTCAATTATGATACTTATTTAAAAAATAAAGCTAATTCCTCAGTAAATGTTATTTTGCAAGTACCCCTAGCTGCTTCATATGAATTTTCTCAGCATAGAAAATAGAAGCATCCAAGACTCAAGGAAAAAGACCAAGCAACTACTACCATCTGTCACTGCATCAGTTGAAGCCATGAAAAATAGCATTAGAATGAGCTGAGGAGACCATCTCTTATAGGATGCAAGAAGCAGATATTTTTGCACTTGGCAGTTTGGTTATACTGATTGCTGGTTACATTGAACTGTAATTGTACTGGAATGTTATTGTATTTAATGTGACTTTTATGCATATTTTAAATGATTAATAATAGAGAAGAGATTTGCAAATATAGAATTGCTATGCATTCATGTTGATGACAATTATGAACAAATGATAATTCAATACAATGGATGGGAAGTCAACCCTTTCAAATAATAGTGTTGCCCAAATAATCATCTGTGGTTGATAAATCAATAAAGAAAATGCAGAGCTACTGTGCCAGGAATATTGTATTTGTGCCTCTGAAGTTCAAGGATGGACTGAATGTTAAGGAGATAAGGTATGGATTTACAATGCAGCTATATTATTCAGGATGTCTATGTACAATTTCATCATACACTTTCACAAATACAAAGCCCATTTGCACTGAAAAATAAATAAACCAATTGAAACAGTTTTTTATACTTCCTGCCTAGAGAAAGTGCATCAATTTTACAGTGCAAGCAGTTTGGAGACGCCAATTTCCTAAGCAGAGCATTCCGATTATTTCACATCTCACACCTGATTGTGGAAGGATGTGAAATAGACATGAACACGTGACTTTAACTTTTTAGTACACTAACACAAAAAAAATATGCCTTTATATATGAAGACAGACATCTAAGAGATTATAATTTTCAGTGTACTTTTTGCAAAAGAGAAAAGATACGCAAGAAGAAGTATCTGGGCATTCAATTCAGAATAATGCTTAAAGGATTACAGTCGCAAGAAAAATATAGATTTTTTTTCCCCAAAGAGGAAAGCATAGATTTTGAACTTTTTTTGTCTACAGTTTATGAAATGATTTACAGGGAAAGGTCCTGGTAACACCTGGAAGAACTTCTGCTAAAGTAGAGTGCATCTAGCAGTACAACTAACCCTAAATACAAACTGGGATGCATTTTTATTAGCCAAGTCAAGGCAGCAAACATACCAAATCCCTTTGCTGCTTCTTTTCCCTACAAACAGCAAACCTGTGAGTTGAGGTGAGTCCCAATATAGTGACCGGTCCAAAATCACCTAGACAGCTTATATGTCCAAGGGACAACCAGAACTAACAGTCTCCTGGTATCTTAACCACTACACCAATGTTCAGATAATTATCATTGCCAACAGTAGCTGAGATAGTGATTCTTTGTGTTGACCACACTCATTGTTTCCTCTGCACATTTTCTTCTTTCTTCAATGGTGGGTGCCTGAGAATATAAATTATATGAATTAATTTTTATCTACTCACATTTTAGATTGGATTCCAGCCGATAAACAAATTGGTTTTATTTATTATTGACAGCACAAGTAGTGCATTTCTCGAACAGGCACCGCACCGCAATGAAAAATAAATTATAAAGCAAGCACTAATAAACAAAAACATTTTATTAACGTTGGATCAGAAGACAATAGTGAGTAAATGGAACCTGGATCAGAATGAAGCAGATGTTTATATATTTAATATAATTATACACCTGCCTTTTCTAAGTTGGTAATAAAATGAAAATAAAAATAAAATTAAACTATTAATAATAAAATCAAAATGAATTTGCCTAAAGATTATCATACAATATAATAACAGCAACAGCAGAAAAGCAATAAAAGAACTGCCATCTAATGAATATTTGAGGAAAGTCATGCCATATTTCAGTGAAGGATGCTATTCTACCAATTAGGCTCTAGTGCAGGAAAAGCTGTATGTTATATTTCTAAAGTCTTAAAGTGGGTACCAAACTGAGAAATCATCAGATTCCTCTGAGGTAAGACTGTCCTTTAGATTTCTACTGTTGTCCTTTAAAATTCACTTTTCTTTTTTTAAGTATTCTTTGAAATTCTGCATTTCATCAGAAATCCTGTAGGAAATATAACAAGATACCAAACCCAGTGCATCTTAAGTCTCCCAACTCCTGAGACATTAAAAACTTTCTTTTCACTTTGGCAGTGTAACCATTTTCTCTCTTTCTCTCTCTTTCTATCTTTTTCCTTAAATGGAAAATTAAATACAAAAAAAAAAATACAAAAAATACAAATGTTAGGCCTATCTTTTGGAGTATTGGCTATTCCTGTCAGTTTTGTGTTGTTTGCAAATTTGACAAGTTCCCTTCTATCCCCTTGTCTAAATCATTGATGAAAATGGCGGAACAGAAATGACAGTTGGTATGTTTGTGGCAGCCTCCACACCCGAAACACCGAGAGAAGGGAACTGCATTGTCAAAGCTTTTGTCTGCTTGCTTTTGAGGCTTTCTTTCTGGAGGTTGCTGCAACTGATTGACCTCGTTGTCTGACTCAGAGTCTTCAACCCTCTCGGCGACCTCTTGATGGATTGTATCCGAGCAAGGAGGGTTCTTGGAGCGCTGCAAGGTCTTAACAGCTCCACCTGCTGCTTCTTCAGCCGTTATCTCCCTCAGCGCATCTTGGAAGGAGACAGTTTCTTTAGCAAAAATCTTTTGTTGAAGTTCTCGGCCTCAGACCACAAACTAGCCGGTCATGCAGCCGTTTTTCCAGGTCCTTAAATTTCGCAAGGCCTCGTAGCTTGGCGCAGAGCAGCAATGAAATCTGCAATGGACTCCTCAGGACGCTGGTCCCACTGTTCAAAAGCATGTTGCCATGCAATGACTGACAGCTTCGGCTCAAAATGTTC